CTAGCATCGCGAAATGTATTGTCGGTAGCTATGACATCACGCACATCCAACCATTGGCTTTGGAGCTTTAACGTCGTCAAATAATGGCCCAAAATCTTGGAAGATAATAATTCGCCCATAGACACAATTTGGTCATACGTGTAATCAAAATCTTCATGTGGCACTTCTTCCAGTATCCACTCTATTTCGACAAAAACATCATTGATATCATCGATTACCGCTTGTCCATCAGCAAAAAGATCGGTAATAAGTGCGATATGTGCTTGTTTGACATCATCAAGAAGTGAATAAGCTCGTCCATCCTGTGCATAGTAACTTTTGACCACTGCTTCGAGTGCATTGGTAGTCTTGCCCATAGCGGAGACAACAAGTACTATTTTGCCTTGTTTAAAGGTGGACATGATTTGTCCCACATTTTTGAATCCTTCTGCATCTCTGACCGATGCACCACCAAACTTAAAGACTTTCAATTCCATAATATACACGACATCTTTCGATGAAAAAATTTTGCGTAAAGGTACAGAGAAATAAAATATTATTAAACATATCACTTGTTTTAGTAGTCAGAACGAATTTTTATTTGGTGAAATTAGCTTGGTTTTTTAAAGCACAGTTTAAGTCACTTATATTGGTGATGTGCATCAGTTGTCTAATTCTAATATATGCGTTTTATTTCTTAATTTTACCCGCTAATAAGTACAAAAAGTATCATTTTATGAATCAGATACATGCAGTGTCGGTGTTTTGTGGATCGTCGTCAGGTAATGAAGGGATTTTTGAAACATCAGCACGTAGGCTTGGTGAATTTTTAGCCAAGAATAACATCACGCTCATCTATGGTGGTGCCAAAGTAGGCCTCATGGGCGCCGTAGCTGATGGCGCTATATTAAGTGGTGGAAATGTAGTGGGCGTGATTCCAGATTTTATTCGCAACAAGGAAATAGCGCATGAAGGCATCACTGAGCTCATCATCGTGAAATCTATGCACGAACGCAAAACCATTATGTACGAAAAATCTGATGGCGCTATCATCTTACCTGGTGGCTTCGGCACGATGGATGAGATGTTCGAACTTCTTACGTGGGGCCAATTGGGATTACACACCAAACCCATTGGTATCCTGAATATCGATGGATATTATAATGATCTGCTAAAATTTATCGATCATATGGTAGTCAAAAACCTGCTCCGAGTATCTAATCGAGAAATGCTATTGGTAAGTGACAATATCGATGATTTGTATAGCAAAATGGCTGAATACGAAGCACCAACTAGAGCCAAATGGATCAGCAAAGAGCAGGTCTAAGGATAAACAACTTACTTAGTTATGGTGTTTGTAGAAGGTTAAATTGATGATAAATTGAAGATTGTAAATCTAACAGTTGCAGGCGGATACAAACCAGAAACGGAGATTGCCCGATTTTTTGGGAAAGACTCATTGCCAAATGGAGCTACATCTTTTAGGAAAAAAGGAATCGGTGGATTGACTTTTTGGGATCCACAAGATGAGGATCGCAAACACAAATTCAAATGTATCATGGTCGCTTTTCCAGATGGGTTAGGTGTTTACTGCCGCAATCATAGGGCCAACTATCTCGTCTTAATTCACAAAAGAGAATTAAAATCTATTGACTTTGTCAAAGAGCAAGATACCATAAAACCTTATGCATGGTCATTGTATTCATTGATGATGAAGGCTGGCATTTCTTACCATACCGCATCAAAATATCTAATGCCAGTGGAAATAATCCATCATGATTTTGCCAAATGTATCTTGCGTACGGAAGAAACGTTTTTGACTTTTGAACTTGACAAAGCCCATCCTGACAAGCTGATTTCGTTTTTAAAAGAACATCATTTTCAAGGCATTCTGAATAACAAGATCCTTTCACCCAAAATAATTGCACACAAATGAAAAGAGTGACTGGCATTGGTGGCTTGTTTTTTAAAACTTCAGATCCTGAATCTACCAAAAGTTGGTATGAAAAACATCTTGGTATAAAAATGGATGCTTATGGCGCTGTTTTTATTTCACGAAAGCCCGAAGCTCCTGATGAAAACCAATATTTGCAATGGAGCCCATTTAAACGAGATACTGATTATTTTTTGCCATCAGATAAAGAATTTATGGTCAATTATCGGGTCGAAAATCTAGAAAAACTGGTAGCAATGCTGAAGGACGAAGGTGTAACAATTTGCGATGAAATAGCGTCTTATGATTACGGCAAGTTTGTGCATATCATGGACAATGATGGAAATAAAATTGAATTGTGGGAACCAGTGGATGCTGTATTTGATGATTTTTATAAAAATAATGAATAAATGCTTTTAATATATATTGCTGCTTTTTGGTCAGTATTCACTTCAGTGCCCGAATTCAAGGACATGAGTGATCAGTTTTATTTGGGAGTCGAAAATCCGATTTCTATACGATTGAATCAATGTGAAGCAGAAGACATTCAGATAAAAGTAAGTGAAGGCAGTTTACACAAGCGGTCTGATTCGACCTATATTTATATGGGCCACCAAGCTATTGAAGAGTTGAAAATAAAACTGTATTACAAAAAGATCTTATGTGCTGTAAAGGTCGTTTCTGTCACCAATATACCTGCGCCAGCCGTTGCCATCAGTAATGAAAGTGATGGTATGATAAGAATAGCGGATCTTAATTCGTCTGTTACACTTGGTTTTAAATATGATGCCAATTACCCTGAGCAACTCAAAAGCGACATTGTCTCCTTTCAGGTTTCTATTCAGAATAAATCTGGGATGCAATTGTATTTTGCACCTATAAAGGGAAATAAACTGGATGATCTCGCCATAAGCAAACTTAAACAAGCAGGCGTAGGTTCGATCATTAATATCTCAAATATTGTCTCTCAAAATCAAAGATCTGGATTGGCTCGAAATGGTATTAATCATCAAGTAGTGGTTGGTCAGTGAGTTGTTTATATTTTATTGAGCTAAGTGAAGTGTAATGACATTCATATTGGATGTTGAATTACCGACTTTTATGCGTTTTATTAAGCTTTTTATACTATAATGTTATAATATAAATTTAATAGGAAGCGTGTACAAAACCCTGACTGGTCGGCCATTTTGTTTACCTGGTATCCATTTTTTTTTCATATTATTCATACTTTGCACAGCTTCAATGGCGGCTTCAGTAAGTCCACTTCCCAAATCTCTACTGGATTGGTCTGGAATGGGTTGGACATCCAATATACTACCATCTATATCTAATACAAACTGCACAACCACAACGCCTTCAATTCCATATTTGCGTGCTTCTTTAGGATATTTTAAGTTTTTATATATGTACGTCAACATCTTTTTTTGAGCACATTTATTTTTGGTTTCTAAATCTTCTATATCTTCACATCCAGGGAAGCGAGGTATTTCCTCCACAACTTTAAAGGTTTCTTCATCAGTAGTATTAGATAGATTTGGATTTGTTTGTCCATAAGTATTTGATAATGAACATAAAAGGATTAATAGGCAAGGAAATAAAATGATTTTCATATTTAAAGATTTTGTCAAAATTAATTAAATATTCTATTGTGCTATTTACGAAGTGAAAAAATTGAAAACTCCAATTCATCATTTATACGTCGCTATAAACTCCTGATTGTCAGGCTTGATTTTAGATCCAAAAAAGTGGGTTAGTTTACCTTCTTCATTTATCAAGTATTTGCAAAAATTCCATGACGGTACTTCACTATTCCACCCATTTTTGCTTGGGTCTGTTAGCCATTGATATATCGCATGTTGTTGGTCACCTTTCACATCTACTTTGTCAAACATCTGGAAAGTAACACCGTAATTTTTTTGGCAAAATGTAGCTATCTCTTCAGATGATCCAGGTTCCTGACCCAAAAACTGATTACAAGGAAAACCGAGCACTTCGACTTGATCTTTATTCGATTCATAAAATTTTTGCCAATCAGCGTACTGTGGTGTATATCCACATTTAGAAGCTACGTTTAGGATAATAATTTTTTTACCTTTATATTTTGACATGTCTATAGTTTCACCATCTAGACTCATAGCTTTGAGGTCATAGAAAGATGGCTTCTCTTGGTTGGTAGCAGAAATCGATTCCTTTGGTGCAGATGCTACTTTATTCCCATTAAAACAACTCCAAAACCACGCTGGCAGACTCAAGGTGATCAATAATATGCCTATTCTCATTGTAAATATTGTATTAGATTATCAATGTAACTACAACGCTATTTGTTTCATTTGGTTGAGATAAGCACAAATTTGCCAGAATAATTGAAAATGAAAGGTTAATAGCATTAAAAGCAATAGAAAAAATATTTGAATATTTATCTTTACACCAAAAATATAAGAAATCGATATGTTAAATTTAATTTTGTTTGGCCCTCCGGGTTCCGGCAAAGGTACTCAAGCTGAGAATCTTATTGAAAAATACGGAATCCTGCACATTAGTACGGGTGACCTTTTTAGGTATGAAATGGGTAATAATACACCATTGGGAATCAAGGCCAAAGAATATATGGCGAAAGGAGAACTTGTACCCGATGAAGTGACGATTGGTATGTTGAAAAATAAAGTAGATGCCAATCCAGATGTAAGTGGGATTATTTTTGATGGATTTCCAAGGACAATACCACAAGCTGAGGCACTTGACGTATTTTTGCAGGAAAAAAATACGGAAGTAACAGCCTTGGTTGCCCTCGATGTACCAGATGAAGAGTTGGTAAAAAGACTGCTTAATCGGGGCAAATCTTCAGGTAGAGCAGATGATAATGATGAAGAAATCATCCGAAACAGAATTTCCATCTATAAATCAGAAACGGCTCAAGTATTTGATTACTATGCGCAAAATGGCAAATCAAAATTGATACCTGGTGTAGGAACGATAGAAGAAATATTCGATAGACTTGTTGCAGCAATTGATGAAGCTTGCTGAACATTGATTAGATACAATAAATAAATTTAGTGGCTGAACAGAATTTTGTAGATTACGTCAAGATATGTTGTAGATCAGGAGCCGGCGGCGCTGGTTCCTCGCATTTTTACAGGGATAAACTCAATAGTATGGGTGGACCCGATGGCGGCAATGGTGGACGTGGAGGCCATATTATCCTAAAGGGAAACTCCAATGTTTGGACCTTGCTTGCCCTTAAATACAAGAAGCACGTCATAGCTACTGGTGGTGTCAATGGATCGGGAAATAATAGTACTGGTGCCAATGGAGAAGATATCATTCTCGAAGTACCGCTCGGAACTGTAGCCCGTGATTTTGAGACTGGGGAGATCGAGTTTGAAATCACGACAAATGGTGAAACTAAAATATTAGCTCGTGGTGGACGTGGTGGTCAAGGAAATGCTCAGTATAAATCAGCCACCAAACAAACACCTGATTATGCCCAACCCGGAGAACCAGGAACAGAAATTTGGAAAATCTTGGAACTCAAGGTACTTGCCGATGTTGGGCTTGTCGGTTATCCAAATGCTGGAAAATCAAGCTTACTTGCCGCATTGACGGCAGCGAAACCAGAGATAGCAAATTACCCATTTACGACCTTAGTGCCCAATCTGGGTATCGTAAAATATCGACACCATGCTTCTTTTGTGATGGCTGATATACCCGGTATCATCAAGAATGCACATGAAGGCAAAGGCTTGGGTTTGAGATTTTTACGCCACATAGAGCGAAACAGTGTCTTGCTTTTTATGGTACCGATAGAGTCCAACGACATCAGTAAAGACTATGGAATACTCTTGAACGAATTAAAAATGTACAATCCTGATCTTGTCGATAAACCTAGATTATTGGCGATTACAAAGTGCGATCTGGTAGAGAAAGAATGGATCGACATCATTCGCCCCGAAATAAAGGTAGATGTTCCGTTTTGTTTTATTTCTTCGATATCAGGTTTGGGATTAGTAGAGTTAAAAGACATGCTTTGGGGTATGATGAATAGCGAACAGCCTTGATAAAAACGTATCTTGCCCTGTTTTGGTGACAATATTTTGGAAAAGGATTTTATGGAAGAGCTGATGTAAAATTATATTGCCTGTAAAAAATGTAAAATAATATTCTATTTTTGTCGGCAATTTTATTATTTCAATAAGATTGAATGCTGTATGTTAATTCGTCAAGCCAAAACATTGTTTATGTCTTCAAAATCCAGTTTGTTTTTATGGTCATTGATCGCTGCTTTAGCGGGATTTTTATTTGGATTTGACACTGTAGTTATATCCGGAGCAGAAAAAGCATTACAAGAATTGTGGCCGCGTGGCGAAGTATTTCATGGTTGGGTGATCATGTCATCAGCATTATGGGGAACTGTGGTAGGAGCATTATTTGGTGGTATTCCCACTGATAAGTATGGCCGCAAACCTACGCTCATCATCATTGGTGTCTTGTATCTCGTTTCTGCGATAGGTTCGGGATTAGCTACCGATCCTTGGATGTTTGCGATCTATAGATTTATTGGTGGTTTGGGTGTAGGCGCATCCACGATAGCAGCACCTATTTTTATATCAGAAATAGCTCCGGCAAAAGATAGAGGCAAGTTAGTAGCACTTTATCAGTTTAATATCGTTTTCGGGATATTGATGGCTTTTGTTTCCAATTATTTACTAAAGGATTTTGGTTCTGAGCCATGGAGATGGATGATCGGAATGGAAGCCTTACCGGCATTTATTTATTGTTTGTTAATATTTCTGATTCCTGAAAGTCCTCGTTGGTTGATCACAATAAAAGATAATGTAGAGAAAGCAATTCCAACACTAAAAGTAATGGATCCCAATACCGATGTACAGGTACAGATTGCCAATATCAAAGCTGATCATGTCAAAGTCGAAATAAATGAAAATATCTGGATGCCGCGTTATAGATATCCTTTGATACTTGCCTTTTTGATCTCTTTTTTCAACCAATTTAGCGGAATAAACGCATTTTTATATTATGCACCAAGAATATTTGAAATAGCAGGGCTCCAGCAAAGCAGTGCCTTGTTAAGTTCTATTGGCATTGGTATAGTCAATCTGATATTTACCTATATTGGTATGATGATGATCGATAAGTTTGGAAGGCGACAGCTTATGTTTATTGGTTCTATTGGGTATATTATTTCATTGAGTCTGGTGGCGATTGCATTCTATTTGGAAATCAAAGGAATGGCAGTACCTATCTTTTTATTTATGTTTATTGCCTCACACGCCATTGGACAAGGTGCGATCATTTGGGTATTTATATCTGAAATATTTCCTAATCATCTCAGAGGTCAAGGCACTTCTTTCGGTACTTCGGTGCACTGGGTTTTTGCCGCTTTGATACCTGCAATGGTCCCTTGGTTATTTAAAGTTATTGGTCCGGCTACAGTTTTTGCAGTGTTTGCATTGATGATGGTAGGTCAGCTTATTTTTACATGGAAAATGATGCCCGAAACCAAAGGTGTTAGCTTGGAAGAATTGGAGAAATTGTTGAAGCGCTAAAGTGATTGTGCTTAAATTTGAAATATGCATTAGAAAATCTAATACGAATCCTAACTCATAATTCAGTTTAAAACTAATTTCATTACGAAGTTTGGTGATTGAAATCAAAGGAACATTTATCCAATCAGTATAAGGTCACCATTATCTTTTATTTTCAAAAAACTTGGTCAATAATTCGGCGCATGCATCATGTTGGATACCGAATTCCAGCTTGGTACCTGGATGCAATAATTCTTTGCCATATCGCATAAATCCACGTTTTTCGTCACTAGCACCATAAACGACTCGGTCTATTTGCGACCAATACAAGGCTCCAGCACACATGACACATGGTTCGAGCGTTACGTATAAAGTGCAGTCTTTCAAGTATTTGCCACCAAGATATGATGCTGCTGATGTGATGGCCATTACTTCGGCGTGTGCAGTGACATCATTTAGTATCTGGGTTTGATTGTGGGCGCGTGCTATGATTTGTTTTTGGCAGACAATGACAGCACCTACAGGTATTTCGCCAGCCATAGCTGCTTTTTTGGCTTCCTTGATGGCTTGTTCCATGAAGTAATCATCTGAATATACAGTCAGCATCTTGCTTATTTTATTGTTCAGCGTGCAAGAAAAGAAAAAAGTTTTAGTTATAAAAATAAAAAGCTCCCGTATCCAAAGAAGGACGGGAGCTTTATAGCATTTTTGTCAATCTGACGTTTTATTCCACTTTTATAAGTTTGTGTATCGATGTTTTTTTGCCATTTTCATGTACATGCAAAAGATAGAAGCCATTTTCTAGTCCAGCCAAGTCTAGTACTCCAGACTGAGAAATACTTCCTTTAGTTATCAACTGACCAGATACATTGTGTATTTCATAAGTGGCATCTTGATCTAGACCCAATACATACACCGATTCTGTAAATGGATTTGGTGCAACCATCAGCCTAGAAATATCTCCATCAGATACACCGTTTATGATCTTAGATTCCCAATATAAATCCACATTTGCAGCATCTATATCACCACTTTGTTTGATTTGATTGGATGCATCTTCATTTAAATCAAATAGGTCGCTGAGAACAGAATTTTTATTGGAAACGAACGTGAAACTGATGAAATTTTCGTTATTCCTAAGGCTTACACCTTGAGGAATGTCAGATAAATTGATAAACCAAGAGATTTTAACAATGCCATCTTTGATAGAGACGTGTTCAGTTTTGTTGAATCCGGGAAGTTTATTACTTGTCACATCGATAACAGAGATACCCGCATCTTTGATGTTAAATTCCAGATTAACGGCCAATAGATTTTGGTTTCTGTCTGATTTCAATTGTAGCTCATATGTTTCACCTTTATTGACAGCTGTGTCTGTAGCTTTGATGACCGTGAAGGTAGGCGGCTTGTTATTATCATCTGGGTTATAACTACCATTGATATCACCCATTTTTATACCGATGAATTCGTTGCCATAGATTAAGTTATTGGTATTGATGGAGAAGCTTATAGGGTCGATATTACCATTGATAATTTGATGATTTTTGTCAAGAAAATGCCAAACTGGTACTGTAGTTGGCCAATTATCTGTCACACCATCGACCAAATTTTTCAAAGTAACCAAATCAAGCGTCGAGATTCCACCGGTACCACTTACATCCGCAGCTAACTGCTGATATGGATTCAATTGTCTCAAACCTAAGACGCTTTCATAAACGGCCACCAAGTCCATGATATCGACTCCATCTCGTGCATTCCCATCTTTAAAAGGTGTAATGGTATAATCTGGTATAAAACCGAAGCTGGCGCATCCTGATGCATCGGTATTGCCTAATCCCATATTTACACCTTCAATTGGTGCATCATAGTAGGTAAATGCGCATACGCTTGCTTGACTTGTCGTTAATAGTGTGATTTTTTGAACAAAAGTTGTTTTAACATTTGTTTGCGTATTGAATGCTGACCAAGTTCTGGTTATCAATAATGTAGTGGCATTTAACTGTGAAATAGCATCGTTAAATGATTTTGTATAAGTAGTACCACATGATGATGCCAATACAGGTTCCACGTCATTGGGATGCACATCAGGGTTTGATTTCAAAGCTGCAATGGATATCGCGGTATTATTGATTGTAATATCTGCTGGCCATTCTATGGCGTCATTATAAGTGTGACCTGAAGCACAATTTCCAGCTGGTGTATTCCACGGTAAAGTATCACAGATTTCCAGTCCATGAACAAAGACCTTAAAGACCTGAATATAGGTGTAAGTACTTCCAGTTAACCAATCAAGTACAGTCCAAGATCTAATTATTTTTTTATCACCAGAATTGACTCCATTTAAGCCTATGGCCTGATCGTTAAAATACATATAGATAGTATTGCAATCAAAATTTACAATTTGTGGTTTAGTATTTCTAGGATCTACACCATGCAAATATTGTAGATCTTCGGGTGTAAGTCGATCAGCAAAACCACTGTTACATACATATAAATCAAATTCACATGGCCATTCTATGTTATCAGCATCGGTATATCCTGAATTGCAATCACCCAAATCTCCACCATGACATCTTGTATCACATACCCTAAATGTCTGAGTACAATTTTCGCTTTTTTCTACTTTAATTGTGCCCCAACAAGAATTTCCCGTGGATTTGTCAGTAACTTTATACAACAATGTCTTTCCACCATCCGACCAAGTAACTTCAGGTTTTGTATAATTAACATTGTTATAAGATAAGGTCACTTCTAGGTCTGCACCACAATTGTAAGATCCTTCCATGACCATTGAAGGCGTTATTTCGATTGGACTAAACGGATTTACTTCTACTGTGATTGCATCATTGCAAACTAATGAATTAGTTGTATTAGGAATGGTATAACTTACATTTGTACTACCACTCACCGTAGCACCAGATTTGTCTTTTATAACCAATCTAACAAGCGTTGGATTTGGGCTACTACACGTAATGAATTCAGGAATGACTTGAACAGAAACCAATTCACAATTGTCATAGTAATCAGCTATCAGCTCAGGTGTTATCTTTAATGGTTGCAATGAAGTAATCTGAACGTTGATATTATTTTTCATTGAGATAACTGGCGCAAATTTGTCATAAACGTGTACTTCACAGGTACATTGGCTGATGATATTGTCACTGCCTGTTGCATATAATTTTACATGGCTGATTTTATTGATATCATCACAGTAGTAATCTGTTCTAGACAATGAAAGCGATACGTAATTGGTCGATCCATCATCAATAGCTTTTGCAACTATTGTTGCTCTGCCAAACTGGTTTAGACTAAAAGTAACAATCTCGTCACAAATAGCAGTAGCATTGCTTGGTGTTTTTGGAGAAACCATAAAATCAGTCCAACACTTGTTTTGTGTCGCTTTTTCTATGACTGTAGCTTGATATGTTCTAGTATTTGTACTGTAATTTATATTATTTTCAGCTACGACTTGTCCATTTGAATCTTTTATTTCTAAGTCAAACCATTCGTTTTGT